GGGGGGGGGGGGGGGGGGGGGGGGGGGGGGGGGGGGGGGGGGGGGGGGGGGGGGGGGGGGGGGCACCGTGATATGCTGCACAAATCACGCATACCTGCATGTCGAAGCGTCCCGATCGGAGCAGAGCGTCATCCAACATGTCCTGGCAAAAGAGCACACAAGAGCGAGAGAGGGAAGGTGAGCGGGAAAAAGGCTTCAAAAGGTGGCAGCAAAGAAATTGATATAGCCCCGAAAAACTCAAGACCTACGACTACGAACTTGAGCACCAGTTGTGAGCTCGATTAAGGACCCCACACCAATACCTAGATAGTTGACATTCGTCACATAGCCCTTGGAACAAAACAAGAACCCCAGGATCGGCCAGAACTAGAGGTTCTTAGAATGCGGGCGCGAACCGTATCACCAGGGCCATCATAACTTCAGCCTCGGCCAAAACTAGACATTCTTAAATGCCAGCGCGAACCGAAACACCAGCGTCATAAGAACCTCAGCCTCGGTCAAGACTAGTGGTTCTAAAAGTGCGGGCGCGTTCTGTAGCGGCCCTGAAGAAGAACCCTTCAGTAGCCCCGGCCAAAACTAGAGGTTCTTCAAATGCGGGCGCGAACCGTAACACCAAGGGGGCAAGGTTTTTTGGCTGTTCACCTTCCGGTTTGTGGAGGCCATCACGACGATCCCGTCCTTTCCCTCGAACCCGTCCATCTCGCTCAGCAGCTGGTTCAGGGTGGCCTCCCGATCCTGCGTCGCACTCCCCGCGTCTCTCGACCCGCTGTTCATTATGTTTTGGAGTCCACCAGGGGGGAGGGGGAAGAGGTGATTGTGTGGGCAATTGAATGAGTACAGTACAGTCGTGGCTCCGACTGTAAGAGGGTCGTGTGACAAAGGTTTCTTCATCCCACCACTCACTGTAAAGACTTCAAAAATCCTCTCCAACTTTGGCGTTGTCTCGAAGAACGGGTGGTCTTTCTGTGAGGTCATGTATACTTTATAATGTAAACAAGGCCCTTGACCCTAACACCGGACTAAAAGGGTACCCGCCTATACTAATAGCGGATCGAGTCCGTGACAACCGATTTCGACCCTCTTGCATCAGAGCCATGACTGTACGCGGTTCTGATGGTGAGCAGATCCTTCCTGCACACCTACTACGTTATCAACACGTTCCAGCTCACGACTCTGTTTGACTTACTGTAGAAGTTCTCGACTCCTCTGAAGTCCACTACCCAAAGAGTGGTGCACCTTTCTAGAGCGAAAGAACAAAAAAACTACGAACTCGCCCAAAAGAACAATTGCCCACTTATGAAGGCTACTCTACAACCAATATAGTCAAACAAACACTTAGATATTCGCCGTGGGGGTACAGTACCCCATATATAGACAAAAAAAAGAAAAGAGCCACGGCCAGAACGAGAGGTTCTGGCGCGTTCTGCATTTCAGGAAAAACAAAACGAAAATGCGCAAAAAGCGAAAAGTACTGACAATTGCTCACCCCCTGGCACGTCCCAGGTGGTCGATCTCGTCGATGTAGATGATGCTTTTCTTGTGCTTCCTGGCCTTCGCGAAAAGCCTCTTGACGGCTGCAACTCCCATGCCGACATAGCTGCGCCACAATAATGTACGATTTGATTTCGGCGTCCTCTTGATCGTGATTTGAAAATTCGCTCCAGCGGGTAGCTTACGCAACCTACTGCTGTGTGTTCTTTGCGCTACATTGGGGGAGTTTGCGCTGAAAACATGTTACTTCGACACGCGAAAGCCTAAATAGATACAAAGAGACTGGTTAAAGCGGGAATGGATACAGTAGGGGCGCAGAGGGAAAACAAACACGGAAGGAAGCCGTCCAACGTCTATACCCCTGCGGTAAAGAAGAAACACTAGTAGCCGCCGATGTCGACTATTCACAAAAAACATCAAGCATGGTACGCGAAAAGTCGCATGCCGTTCAAGTCGACCGTAACCCAAACATCACGTACGGTACGAGCAAAGTCTTGCTTGCGTCGTTCAAGTCGAACATATCCAGAGCATCAAGTATGGTATGGAAGGATCCAACTCACACTCCGTTGAACTCGGACCCGCAAGCGTAGAGGAACGGGACGCCCGCCTCTCCAGCGCATGCCTTGGCAATCAGAGTTTTGCCTGCACAACAAGAACAAAAAAAGACGGCGAAACAAAACGAGAAAATCGTAGTCTTTAGAATAAATTCACAATCAGAGTTTCTTCACGTTTTTTTCCTGCGCAATAAAAAATATGGCGGCAACTTCTACCGTTATCTTGAAAATGAATTCACCCAACGACGTGGTGCTCTTCAGTGCGCAAGAAGCGAAAACCATGGGGGCGGGGGGGGGAACAACAAGACCTCACGACGTGTCTGGACAAGAAGAAATACAATTTCCGCCAGCAGCAGAAATGGGGCGGTTCGAGTAGAACGTCATTGAAATCACGATGCTGTCTTAGTGCCTCAAGAACAAAGCATACAAATGGAAGCGCGCGACAAATTTTCAGTCGCCACTTTTATTTACCTTGACACGAAGAAGATTTTGGCAACAACAAGGCCTTCGCTCTTCGCTCCCGTTCGACAAATCTCACATCTCGATTTAGCAAAAGAGCAACAGCTCAAGAACAACATTTTCCATTATTTCCATTTGCGCCAGGTTGAACGAGTCTAGTCCTTAGACACACCTGTCCGCACCCTTCTTGTCAAAACACTCAAAAAAAAAAAGTCAGTTGAGGAATCCGTCATCAAGAGCCACTACACTACAACGCAGGTTTTCCTTAGAAAGCAAGCATACTGGATAAATATTGAATCGGCCAAGTTAGGTTTAGGGTTACGATTAAGTTTCGTGTCTGCGTGCCCCCTCCCTGCCCCTCCCCCCCTTTCGGGCGCTTAAGCCAGTTTGGTCAAGCCGCATATTGTCAAGAATATTCTGTAGTATGGGTATAGTGAAGTCAATATATTCCAGATTGTAAAGGCTATTCATACCGTATATAACGCAAGATAACACACTCCCGATTTTCAAAGCTCGATTACTCCACGACGAAGAGGATGAATAATCGAAACGATACATTTTCGAAAAGCTCTCGACGAGACGGTTTCAACGCCGCCGTTTTCCGTGCTGTTCATGTTCCTGCGGTTGAGAAATCGAGCTTCGAAAAATGGTCAAGGGGGTGTGTTATCTTGTGTCATATACGGTAGTACCACACCATGAAACCCCTTGAATAGAACAGGGAGGGGGTACACAGACCCTTTACCTAACCCCTAACCCAACTTCTCCGATTGCATGCTTTACCCAGCATGTTTACTAACCTGTGCCAGGGGGGCCCACCAACAGGATTCCCTTGGGTCTAGAGGCACCAAGGCTGTCGTACGCCGACGGATCCACCAGGAAATCGACGATCTGGGCGCACGGCACGGGGGGGGGAGGGCACGCGGCAGGAACGAAATGAGGGATGTGTACAAAAGGTGGGCTGCGGAAAGCATCCCCTGCGATCATTTACGACCTGCTGCTGTCGTCGAGATCTCTCGCCGTGAATACGACCTTCTGCCAGTATTGGATTCCATCTTCTGGGATCCTTGCGGTCCTCTACCGCCATTGGATGCCCTGTTCTGCAACCACCATGACGACCTTTCTGAACTCCTTACGATCTATCGCCACCAAGATATTTTGCGATCCTTACGATATTCTACCGTCGTTGCATACAATTGTATGATCTTCCGCAACACCAAAACGATACTTGTACGATCCTTCCGATCTTCCTTCCGCCATCACGATATTTGCGATCCTTACGATATTCTACCGCCATTCGATACGATCCTCTGCGATCACCACGATCATACGATCTTCCGCAACACCACAAACGATGATTCTACCATCTTTGCGGGTTTCTGCCTTCACTCATAGGCACGATCTTCCACCGTGGCTATTACACATGGTAGAATCTTCCCCGACAACCATTAACGCGATACTTTTGCAACAACCAACTAAGATACGATCTTCCCGCCGTCACCAATACCAGACAAGATCTTTCTGCCATCTTTCTCGCGCCGCCGCGCACGGTGGGGTACCTGCTTGATTTCCCCCTTGGCCTCGTCGCAGCCGACAACGTCCTTGAACGCCACCTTCTCCGCCTTCTTCTTCACTCGCAAGTTCACGCAGGCCTGGATCTGAGGAACCAGCATCAACAACAAAAGACGTGGCATCCAGGGTCATGAAGCAGGGGGAGAAGGGGACCGCCTTCGCCAGAAGCTTTAGTTCTATGAAGAAATGGGAAAACAGGGAGGGGATACGCAGACCCTACCCCTACCCCAACTAGCCCCATCGTATGCTTTATCCAACATGTCCACCGCCCACAACGACACCAACATCAACAATAACATCATCATCAACAACAACAACAACAACAACAACAACAACAACAACAATAACAACAACAACAACAACATAGTGAAAATTACTCCTGCAAATTACAACAGCATCGACAACATGTGATTGGTTGACTCACGAGCATCCTGGCCGTGGCCAAGGCCATCGCGCTGGCGAGCGATGCCCCGACCTCCTCCACAAAGCGGGCCGGCATGGCCTGCGTCACCACAGTCCTCGTGTGCTGGCCCAGCGGTGGGATGACGACCGCTTCGCCTGACCTGCCCATCCCTTGCTGGCTCGCATGCACCTGATACACAGAACGCGCCACCAGTTAGCGGGTAAGAACTCGAGCCTAAAAAAATCATTGGCCAACAAGAACAGGTGCTCAGTCAACAAGTGTACACTAAAACATATGTAGTCAAGAAGCCCACACTAAAACCTATGTAGTCGCCGTGGGGGTAGTCTACCCCATAGACAGCACAAGAAACGAGCCCCGGACAAGTAGGAGGTTCTCAAGTGGTGGCGCGTTCTGTATTCGCGACGTGTGTTGTGTTTTGTGGTGATAGTTTTCGCAAGTCGTCGATGGGAATGAAAGGGGCGAAGGCTGGGTGTGTGTGGAAAAAGAAAAGAGTTTCTCTTATTCCTCAACAACGAGAACCCAGGTCAAGAGGGCACGCAGGGATTATTTCTTCCAAGGTAGACAGGCTCATGTGTCGCCTTACACAAGACACCTAACCCCAGTTCTAAAAGCTCGGTCACTTCACGACGAACAGGATGAAAACATACGCTTTCGGAAAGCTCTCTCGCGACGACATGGCTTCAACGCCAACGTTTCGGTGCTGCCACTCTTCCCGCCGTGGAGAAAACGAGCTTCGAAAATAATCGGACCGCGTTCGCAAGAAATAAAGTCTGATGGACCAAACAGAACCGGCACGCGCCATGCCCCTAGCCCCAGACCGTTTATTTCAGTAGCTTCCGCCGGGTTTTTCGATTATGTTAACAAGTTGGACAAGGTATGCAATAGGGGATGTTAGGGTTCGGGTTTAGGAATAGATTACTCAGATTGCAATAAGACCCTTTTCCTACCCCCGAACCCCAACATCCCCTATTGCATGCCTTACCCGACGTGTACATAATGATCGAAAAAAAAAAAATGCGGAGGCTACTGAAATTATCGGCCTAGGGCTGCGGACATCGCGCGCGAGCAACAACCTACGTCTCACCGCCTCCATCTCCTTCAAGAGCGCCACCTCGCTCCTCATTCGCGCCGCCGCCGCCGCAGCCTTAGCCCTCGCCAGCTCCTCCTCCTCATCGTCCTCCCCTTCTGTACCGCCGCCCGATTCGAAAAACTGCGGCAAACAATCGAGACGTCTTGGGGATCAGCTGGGCAAAATGACTAGCTTTAGCCGCCGGATACGACAAACCGTGGCGCAAAAATGAAGACCGATACGTTGTGTGGTTCACAACGACTGGTTTGAGGCGCCCGATTCGACAAATTGCGACAAAACACAACCAAAGTTATATTGGCGCAATTGTTTTCGAAAGACAGCAAAGAGAGAGGAGAACGGATCCCATTTCGAATAGATATATCCGGTGTTTAGATCAGGACATGGGCAGGTCGGGTAACGGATGGGCAAAGGTTCTGGTGTCCACAAAAAGGGGCGTCAGCGGAAGTTCCGGGCAAGGTTCAGAATCGGTTCGAAACGCCAAGAAAAGCCCGACTCCACGACAACAACAACAACAACAACAACAACAACAACAACAACAACAACCATAGCCAGGTCATCAGCCAACAGGAACAACAACAATGAACAACAGCAACAACCATAGCCAGGCCACCACCAGCAGGAGCAGCAAGAACCACAACAAGTACAGGAAGAAGAAGAAGAAGAAGAAGAAGAAGAACAACAACAACAACAACAAGAACAACAACAACAACAACAAGAACAACAACAACAACAACAAGAACAACAACAACAACAACAACAACAACAACAGATGATCAGGGAGTTGAAGCAAGCCTTCTGTTTGGCCCTGGTGCCGCGGTTGGGGAGAGAGACATCACTCTGCTGCAGTGGAAACTACACCCAATACCCCAAAACAGTCGTCCCTCGGTTAAGGACACGCATGGTTCTCCGTTTCAGCAGGCATCTTTGAGCCTGGGAAGTGTCCTTAAGGTTCCTACCCCTCCTTGTGTTGACCATTCTGCGAGTCAACATGCCTGTGGAAAAACGTTGTCCTCAACCGGGGGTGTCCTGAAAATGGTGCCCTTAACCGAAGAATGACTGTACTCAGTGCACACTAGTTAGGACCTGACACGAGGAACTCAACGAATGGACGCAAGCACAACCCGAAAAAGAGCAGCGGGGAACAGGAGCGGGTGCCACACGCGCAATTTGCACTATAATGTGCCCCGCCCGCGCCTCAGAAGCAGAAGGCGAACGATAGAGTGCGCTACATCTCCAACAGGGAAAAGCACAAGCTGAGAGTCGGGTCGTGGAACGTGTGCGGGTTCGCAAGGAGTGAGCGCAAGCGGTTGGAAATAGTGGACCAAGTAGAACAAGGCGATCTAGATGTAGTGGGAATCCAAGAGACGTCGGAATTGAAGGATGGAGAGACGTGGTAAGCAAACGAGGGAAATACCGGTCGGTAGGGAAGGCAAGAAAGGGCTTACACCCGAAGAAAAGGGGGGAGGGGGGAGTCGGATTCCTGGTCAAGGAACACTTGTTTGACGTGGTGGAAGTAGTGGTGGAAACGGAGTTCGAGGAAA